CTCTCCTTTTTTTCTTCCTTTTTATAAATATAAAGGTCTCTTTATTGTCATGATTGAGAGTTGTCCCTTTCTTTACGTTATTTTGAATTCTGATTCTGCCCTTTCTTCTTATGTTTTACCAAGAGTGAGCTCTTCATTTATGCCAGGGTTTGTGACTTTGCAATGGCAACTATAAAGTTGAGGGTTCTTGGTCATGTCGAATGACTTTGATAAAGGTTCCAAGCTTAAGAGTATGGTGTTTGAGAATATCCTTGCACAGTGTTTTCTTTGACCCAACGATCACTGTTGGGAGGCCATAGAAGAAGAGGCCCTAAACTCTACTGTGGATGACGAGATGTGCTTCTGTTTCGACCAGTTTCGTTTGTGTCAGTGCTTTCTATTATGCCAATAAATTGAGGAGATTTTACGTTTCTAAGGATTAGTTTTAGTGTAGATTCACCCTAACTCTATTTTCCTGATCATGACATTCATTGTGTTCCTTCGATGACAAAAACTTTCTCGATTGATTGAGTTGTTCCGCTCGATGACTATCCCTAAGATATATAGAGATGGGTCATTGATCTTCTCATTGATGTTAATAACCTTTGTGGGATTGGAGATGAAGGAGAACTTCTTCTTTGTAAAGAAGAAAGAAGAATGTGATGTCCTCAATAAGGTACACTTTATGGCTTCGTTTCCCATGTTCCTTGACTTCGATTTGCCTGATGCTGAACGTTTGAGCTTCCTAACTCTACCGGAACTGAAATTGGATAAGAGGCCTTTTACCATATTGAAGGTTCTTGTGAATGCACTTTGCGATAAACCCTTTTATAAGACCCTTGTATTTTTTTCTTTGTTTGATTTTTACAGGTTTGCTCTTTTTCATTCTAGGGAAAAATGTGAGGCCTCTAGTGGAGATGACTGAAAAAAGGTTGAAGCGTTTGGAGATCCCGGAGGGAAAGAAGAAATCTCTCTCTCATGTCGTTCGGAGGACGGGAGCAGTTGTTATCGTAAGTAAGGGCGAGGAGAATGAGAAGGTTGGGTCCGCGCATGCACCCTTGACAAAAAGTTTACTCTTAAAAGGTGTGAAGGCCACCGCTGAAGCCTCAACTGGAACTTTGAATACCAACCTCAAGATCTTGCCCTCAAGGAGATAAGAGAAAATGAGTGGTGAGCGAATAAGCTTCTGTTCGACCTCCCTCTAAAGAACCTCCGCCGAAACGTCATATAGTAGATTCGATCGCAACAGTTTCCCCCTCCAATCTCTCATCATCCTCATCAGAAGCGTCAAAGTGGGAAGAATTTGATATGAAGGGAGAAATATGCCTTATCAATGAAGAAAATTTAAAGGTCATAGTAGATTTATCGAAGAGTTGGATGGCCGGTGAAGATTTTCTGAGATCTCATATAAGATGGGATCATTAATTCGCTCCACCTTGTTGATGAAGCAAATGAAAGTTGCTCGCCAAGTTGCTCGCCGACTATTACAAATTTTTGTTATAGAGAGAATGGTGAATTTATGATATGCTACTGTCATGATATGTTAGTCCCATCAACGGATCGTCCGTAGATATATTGGTTTGCAATCAGCTTTCGAAGTAGAACAAGCCAAAAAATAAATCACTCGTGGCCAAGATTGAGAAACTTTCTGAAGATAGGCTCCTAGTAGTTTCCAAGTCCAAGAAGCTGTCTTTGGATAGAGCGAAGCTATTGGAGGAGAATGAGAAGATTACCTTAGAATTGTCGAAGTATAGAGCTGAGAATGAAAAGGTTCAGAAAAAGATTGATGAATTAAATGAATCTCTGAATTTGAAGTCAATTCTCCTTGAGGAAGAGAAAGAGAATCAATTTATGTTAAAATCTAGAATTCTTGAATAAGAAGGATCTTTGAAAAATAAGAGGACGAAATAAAAATTTCTCGGAGAGCTTCCCAATACACCTGAATATGTGGAAGTGATGAAGAACAGTCTTGAGCAGAATACCAAGCTTATCTCATAGATGGTGATAAATAAAGGTTGTTTACATCCATCTATTAAGATTTATATAAATTGCAGTAAGAATGAGGGATGTCTCGACAATTAGGAATACATATACCGTGTTGTTGTTGGGAAGTTCTATATTGATTTTAATACCATACTGAATTTTTACTTGTAATTTATGAATAGACATTTTTGTTGTCTTACTTAATTTTAACCAGTTGATTTTTTGTCTTCTCGAGTTATGTTTTTGTCTCGTATTTTGGCATCAGGTCATCGCTTTCTAGTGCGTCTGGCCTTTCATGAGGCATATTAAGCAGATCATGTCGCTCTCCTCATGGGATATCCCTTAGACTAGTTTTAGAGACAATTTTCACTCTATGAGATATTCTTGTTGAACAGAGGAGAGGGTCGACCAACTAGAGCTGAACTTATGCGCAAATATTTGGATATAGTTCTTTTTAAATCCTTCGGCCTAAGTCTTACCAACTCCTGGGTTAACCTTTTGTGTTCTCAAGGTAAGTCGTTGCCTTGGGTGGATTAGTCCTTTCATGAGGGGTACTCGGCAGATATTGTCGTTGGCCTTAGGCGGAACCCATCAAGACTCGCCCTAGAGGTGACTCGCTCTCTCTCTGTTCACTGCATCTTTTGAGTAGAGAGGGGATCTATTCCCTAGGATTAGGCATTTACTCGAGGAACAGACCATTATACCACAGGTTTTTTTATCGCTTGGGCATTGAAGTTACTTTTCCTGCTTTATACAGCAATCCCAAGGGAGTGTCTGATATGAATCGTATATACAAACATGAACAATATCATTATAATTCAATTTACCTAGAAAGTTGGGAGAGTCTAGTCATTTCAAGAATGAATGCTCGATCTGTTTAGTCATATCCAAATACAGGAAAATGCCCAGAGTACAAATCTTTGGATGCTCACATGAGCTGTCCTTCAATCCGAGGAGTTTTTGACTCTCCTGCAAGTCTTACGCTCATGCTTGGCTCTAAGCTACTTTTAGCAAGGTTGTTTGAGGTTCTCTAACGTCCTTAGAAAAGTAGTTCCCACTCTATCTCTATTGTCGACTTTGGGCAAACCCAATGTTTAAGGATTGAACGATTTTGTTTATCAATCTCTTAAAAGATATATACCCATTGTAGTATTTAATTAAGTGAATATAGTTCAAGATCACCCGATTTTCTTTGATTGTCGAAGTATTCATATCGCAACTTATCATATTAGAGTTCGAAGATTTTTAATTCGTTTCTGCCTCCAAGTCTTGAGAATCTCAGTTCCCGAATATGTGATTAAACATATGCTCCCGAACCCACTTGTTCCCTGATTATATAAGGATCGGTCCACAAAGGCTCAAATTTTCTAAAGGCCTGATCGCGAGTCGTTGGATCTGCCTTTTCGAGGACCAAATCTCCAGGTTTAAATTGTTGATCTCTGATCCTGATGTCATATTATTTTGTCTTTCTCTACTTAGCCTCCTCTTATCGCAAGGAGGCTTCGTCTAGAAGTTCTTATTGACATAGTAGAGAGTTCTTTAGTCCTTTGTCGTTTGATTCCTTCTACTTGTCCAGTTTGGATTCCTCAAAGTTGGATGCAGTGAGGATCTTGAGACTATGTAAATTGTATTCTATTAGAAGGACCACTTCACTCCCATGAGAATGGGCGAAAGGTGTATGTCCAGTGGTCGTTGTAGGCATTGTGTGCAAAGCCCACAAGACTAGTGGTAGCTCCTCGAGCCAGTTTCCCTTGGCTCCTTCTAGTTTTTCCTAAGTAGAGTCAAGATGCGCTTGTCTGTGGCTTCTACTTGGTCGTTACTATGAGGATGATGAACATAAGTAAAATTAAGCTTTATCCCCTATTCGCTACAAAACTGATTCATTCTCTTGTTTGCTCATTGGGTTCCATTAACACTAATGATGACCATAATTAACCCATTTCTATATATGATCTCGCTCCATATGAAGTTCCAAATTACCTAAGTGGTGATTTGGGCCAGAAGCTTGGCTTCGATCCACTTGGAGAAATAAACTATCATGATTAAGATGCATTTGTGTTGTCCCTTTCCCTGTGGCCAAGGTCTGATGAGGTCCATTCCCTGGATTGTAAATGGCCAAATTCTGTTTATCGGTTGTAATATATAGGACGTTATAGCTCCATCGTAGTGAACTTCTGACACTACTCGCATTTCCTCATAAAATCATTGGTATTTTCCCGAGAGTGGGCCAAAAATAACCTTATCACAATACTCGGTTGGCCAATGTTCTTCCTCTGGAATGGCTTCCGCATTCCCCAGAATACACTTCTCGTAGAACAATCTCTTTCTCCTTTTCACTAGTGCACTTAAGCAAAAAAGAGACAAAGACCTTCAAAAGAGCTACACATGGGCCACTATGTAATGAGTAGCTTTATTCCGAATCTTCGTAAATCTTTGATACTTGAGGGTATTACTCCTGCAAAGAAATATTGCATATTGGGATTAGTTCAACTCCTCATTTCTTGTAGCTACAAACTCGTCTCTTCAACTCTATTTATAGTTGGCTTGCGAAAAATCATGGTCCATTGATTCTGAACATTGTTTCTCTGATAGAGGATGTTAGTGAATTGTTTCTTATCTCTAGGGATGTGTTTGATTTGAAAATTTTTTAGCTTGCTCATCTCCTGAGATATTTCATCATAATTTGGTCTCTTAGCTCAAAGTGTCCATTGACTTGATTGACAACTAGCTGAGAGCCGGATTTGATTATCATACTGGTGACTCCTATCCCCAATGATAGCCTAAGTCGTGCTATCAGTGCTTCGTTTTCAACTTGATTGTTGTTGGCCTCAAAATCGGGCTCAACAGAGTGAATGAGGATAGATCCGCTTGTGTTGCATAAAACTATGCCTATGCCTCTTCGTGTGGTTCCAGAGGCTCCATCAACATTATATTTAAATGAATATCTTAATTTAAACAATAAGATTTAAATCTTACACATATCTCTAATAATTTAGGACTGCATGATTTTTTACACTTAATTGACTTGGACTCGCTCAAGCTTCGTTTACAACTCTGCTTGCGGCCAAGCAGCCCCAATCGGCTCCTTATCTTCCGCTCCGCTAGCCACGGCCCGTCCGCCACTCATCTGCATCCTATTCTGCAGCAGGAAGAGGGCGGGAAAATGGCAGCAAATCTCATGTGTACGTGCACACTGTCTCTTGGGAGACCGAAGATTAATTCCAAAACTAAGTTTATATCTTCGAGCTCCTACCTGTTGGCAACGAAGAGGCCGCAGCTAGGGTTCCGGCTTTCACAATTCGCGGGTTTCAAGCTTAGCATCTCCCAAACGCCTCCCCTTCACCCAAGAACTACAGTGCAGACAATTTTCGCCAGTAATCCACCCCTCCAGCGTCTAAATTTTCTTTTTTTTTTTTGTCGAGTTTTTTGTGCCTCATGTAATTTAATTATTGTGCGTTTTGTTTTTTGTTTTTTTTTTTTCTCCCTTCTTGTAGAGAGGATTTGTCCATTCACAGGGAAGAAGGCGAACAAGGCCAACAAGGTATCATTCTCCAACCACAAGACCAAAAAGCTGCAGTTTGTAAACTTACAGTACAAGAGAGTGTGGTGGGAGGCAGGTAAGCGCTACCTCAAGCTCCGGCTTTCCACCAATGCCCTCAAGACTATCGAGAAGAATGGCTTGGATGCTGTAGCCAAGAAGGCTGGCATCGATCCCCGCAAAGAATAAGAGTGCCCCCGTAGGATTACTTTCCTCTCCCTCGGTTTCAATTTCTAGCTTTTTTGGGAGCTTCCGCTCTTTATTGTCTGGTGTTTGCAAAAATGGTAGATATTAGTCTGGTGATTTTTCTTGTTCTTATCATTGAAATCAAATAAGACAATTGCTCTCCAGCTAAATACTTTTAAGACTTTTAGCAATTGCTATAACCTTATTGCCTTTCTAAATTATTCATGGTGATATGCTCATATCGCTTCAATATAAATCCACAGTTCTACTACCTTTATTTAAATAAATTAACGAAAAAGTTTATGCATGCATCCTGTTAAAGTCATTCTGTCTCAAATTAATAGTTCACTTCAAGTTGACAAGTATTTCCATAATCCAGAAACTGCAATTTATCCTTCAGGCAGAAGTTCATAATCAGAAGCAAGTGCATACGAGTAAGGAATGCAACAAAAATTATTTAACATTGATATTTCAATTTATATAACTTGGAGTTTCCTTGGGAAGTTTGATGCATTAATAAACTAGATGAAGTGATTTATTCATCCAGCACGTGCTCATTTGTGCTTGTGTTGCAAAGATAAGTTAACTCCACACCCACCCTCAAGTTAATCGACCACAGGTTTAACCATGGAAAAATCATTAATCATTTTACAATGCCACCTTTCAGATTGTTGGGTAGATATGCTTCTTATAATAACTTATGTAAGTTGCGCACTTTAAGAGAGTTATCATAATTTCAATTTACGACAAATGAAATGCTTTAATTCAGATACTTTATGCTGCCTAGTTCCTATTACTTATCAAACTCACTTTTTTTCTTATGAAATGATTCACATTATACAAAAAAATTATGTCTGTTGATGGAATGATTCAAGCATATTTAGTTTGAAACATCAAAGAGGGTAACTCTATATCTTAAAATGTAAACAATTTAGTTCTGCAAGACCACCATCAAATGACAATGTATATGTTGAAGGTTCTTGAGTAAAGAACTATTTAGGCTTATTAATTAAAGTTAGATGAGTAGGAATATTAATGATGCACATATAATGTTGTTTAACCTTTACATTAACTTATATTATTTAGTCAACCTTAAGCAACTATTGGGCATATTTATTTATCAATGTATAACTAGTTAAGACAACTTCTTTTAGTGTTTGGTTTGTTATAAAGTTAGCGCATTCATTTTTACACAAAATCATTTTAGACTCTTTCACTCATGAAAATATTGGAGTTTGAATTCCCTTTCAACCCCATTGAATTATTTCATTACATTAACCATAGGGGCCTGGCTTTTCTCCTTTAAGAATGGAACAAGTAAAAACAATGCAATGAGTGCAAGGTGAGTTTATTCATTGGATATATCATTTCCTTGTGTTTTTTTCTCTTTAGAGGCTTAAATTCTTCCATTTGATGAAATCTATTTGGGTGGGTGTCAAGAGGATACATTAAGTTCTTATGAAGATTTATTTATGTTGAAATCAACTTTTGCGTTGAGTTGAATAGTGGTTAGAGAACAAAATTTGAGAGTGAGAGACTGACGAGAGAGCTAGTATGTGGATTATTTGGCATGTTGATTTTATAGGTCTTTTATAACAATTGAGTTGTGCTTTTCATCTATTGCCTATGTAGTCAAGTGGGTTCAAACTCAATATGATTCAACTTATGCTATATTGGGTGTCTTACCTTTAGGACTTTTTGTCAAGCGTATTATTGACCTCATTTTGAGGTCATTTCTCCTCTCCTTAGATCCTATGATCTAGTTCTAAGGTTTCCTATCGACTATCTTAGAGGACTAGAACTTAGACCTACCCCTTTTAGAAATTTGAACCTTTTCCTGATTCTTGTGGTGTGTCGCCCGTGTGGTCTCAACCATCACCATTTGATCGAGTGGTTGTGTTCACGGACAATCATCATTTGGTCGAGTGGTTAAGGACCAATCATGTGGAGGCCCAAAGAGAGATTCCGTAGGGTTTAAAAGCCTTAGGACACCTAAAATTGAACTTAAACAGGGTGAAAAATGTGAACTTGTCCAGACGACCACCAATGACGAAGTAGACTGCGTCGGCACGTCCAGGACGTCAATTTTAGCTAGGGAGGACACTCATATTGCCATAATTCCTCACACATGCAAATCGCACGCAAATCAGTGAATTCGTCAAAACGACCTCGGATAACAGAAAGGATCGTGCCTGCGCGATCGGATCGTCGAAGTTACCTGGAAAAGACATCTATCTGTGCACAAATAATTTATGCGCAAATTGATATATTTAAATAATATAATATAATAAAAAAAATTACAAAATAATCTAAAAATAACAAAATCCTTGTTTTAAACCTATTTCACTAAACTCACGCACCCGATTCAGCCTTTCCCTTCTTCGATCGAGAGTCTCAGGCGTGCCTTAGCTCCCGCGGCTCGTCTCCACCT